AGAGGGTAATGAGAGAGAGAAAAAAGAGGGGTAATGAGAGAGAGAAAGAGGGTAATGAGAAAGAGGGTAATGAGAGAGAAAGAGGGTAATGAGAGAGAGAGAGAAAGAGAGGGTAATGGGAGAGAGAGAAAGAGAGGGTAATGAGAGAGAGAGAAAGAGAGGGTAATGAGAGAGAGAGAAAGAAATGAGAGAGAGAAAGAGAGGGTAATGAGAGAGAGAAAGAGAGGGTAATGAGAGAGAGAGAAAGAGAGGGTAATGAGAGAGAGAAAGAGAGGGTAATGAGAGAGAGAAAGAGAGGGTAATGAGAGAGAGAAAGAGAGGGTAATGAGAGAGAGAAAGAGAGGGTAATGAGAGAGAGAAAGAGAGGGTAATGAGAGAGAGAAAGAGAGGGTAATGAGAGAGAGAAAGAGGGGTATGAGAGAGGAGAGAAAGAGAGGGTAATGGGAGAGAGAGAAAGAGAGGGTAATGAGAGAGAGAGAAAGAGAGGGTAATGAGAGAGAGAGAAAGAGAGGGTAATGAGAGAGAGAGAAAGAGGGGTAATGAGAGAGAGAGAAAAGAGAGGGTAATGAGAGAGAGAGAAAGAGAGGGTAATGAGCGAGAGAGCGAGAGAGAGAGAGGGTAATGAGAGAGAGAGAGAGAGAGAGGGTAATGAGAGAGAGAGGAAAGAGAGGGTAATGAGAGAGAGAGAAAGAGAGGGTAATGAGAGAGAGAGAAAGAGAGGGTAATGAGGAGAGAGAGGAAAGAGAGGGTAATGGAGAGAGAGAGAAGAGGGGTAATGGAGAGAGAGAGAAAGAGAGGGTAATGGGAGAGAGAGAAAGAGAGGGTAGGGAGAAGAGAGAGGTAATGGGAGAGAGAAAGAGAGGGTAATGGGGGGAGAGAGAGAAAGAGGGTAATGGGAGAGAGAGAAAGAGAGGGTAATGGGAGAGAGAGAGAAAGAGAGGGTAATGGGAGAGAGAGAAAGAGAGGGTATGGGGGAGAGAGAGAAGAGAGGGTAAGAGAGAGAAAGAGAGGGGTAATGGGAGAGAGAGAAAGAGAGGGTAATGGGGAGAGAGAGAAAGAGAGAGGGTGGGAATGGGAGAGAGAAAGAGAGGGTAATGGGAGAGAGAGAAAGAGGGTAATGAGAGAGAAAGAGGGGTAATGAGAGAGAGAGAAGAGGGTAATGAGAGAGAAAGAGGGGTAATGAGAGAAAGAGAGGGTAATGAGAGAGAGAAAAGAGAGGGTAATGAGAGAGAGAGAGAGGGTAATGAGAGAGAGAAAGAGGGGGTAATGAGAGAGAGAGAAAGAGAGGGTAATGAGAGAGAGAAAGAGAGGGTAATGGGAGAGAGAGAAGAGAGGGTACTGTGGGGAGAGAGAGAGAAGAGAGGGTAATGGGAGAGAGAGGAAAGAGGGTAATGGGAGAGAGAGAAAGAGGGTAATGGGAGAGAGAGAGAAAGAGAGGGTAATGGGAGAGAGAGAGAAGAGGGTAATGGGAGAGGAGGAGAGAGAAAGAGAGGGTAATGGGAGAGAGAGAGAAAGAGGGTAATGGGAGAGAGAGAGCAAAGAGGGTAATGGGAGAGAGAAAAAAGAGAGGGTAATGGGAGAGAGAGAAAGAGAGGGTAATGGGAGAGAGAGAAAGAGAGGGTAATGGGGAGAGAGAGAGAAAGAGAGGGTAATGGGAGAGAGAGAAAGAGAGGGTAATGGGAGAGAGAGAAAGAGAGGGTAATGGGAGAGAAGAGAGAAAGAAGAGGGTAATGGGAAGAGAGAGAAAGAGAGGGTAATGGGAGAGAGAGAAAGAGAGGGTAATGAGAGAGAGAGAAAGAGAGGGTAATGGGAGAGAGAGAAAAGAGGGTAATGAGAGAGAGAAGAGGGGTAATGAGAGAGAGAAAGAGGGTAATGAGAGAGAAAGAGGGTAATGAGAGAGAGAAGAGGGTAATGAGAGAGAAAGAGAGGGTAATGAGAGAGAGAAAGAGGGGGTAATGAGAGAGAGAAAGAGAGAGGGTAATGAGAGAGAGAAAGAGGGGGTAATGAGAGAGAGAAAGAGAGGGTAATGAGAGAGAGAAAGAGAGGGTAATGAGAGAGAGAAAGAGAGGGTAATGAGAGAGAGAAAGAGAGGGTAATGAGAGAGAGAAAGAGAGGGTAATGAGAGAGAGAGAAAGAGAGGGTAATGAGAGAGAGAAAGAGAGGGTAATGAGAGAGAGAAAGAGAGGGTAATGAGAGAGAGAAAGAGGGGGTAATGAGAGAGAGAAAAGAGGGTAATGAGAGAGAGAGGGTAATGAAGAGAGAGGGTAATGAGAGAGAGAGAAAGAGAGGGTAATGGGAGAGAGAGAGAAAGAGAGGGTAATGAGAGAGAGAGAGAAGAGAGGGTAATGAGGAGAGAGAGAAAGAGAGGGTAATGGGGAGAGAGAGAGAAAGAGAGGGTAATGAGAGAGAGAGAAAGAGAGGGTAATGAGAGAGAGAGAAAGAAGAGGGGGTAATGAGAGAGAGAAAGAGAGGGTAATGAGAGAGAGAAAGAGAGGGTAATGAGAGAGAGAAAGAGAGGGTAATGAGAGAGAGAAAGAGAGGGTAATGAGAGAGAGAAAGAGAGGGTAATGAGAGAGAGAAAGAGAGGGTAATGAGAGAGAGAAAGAGAGGGGTAATGAGAGAGAGAAAGAGAGGGTAATGAGAGAGAAAGAGGGTAATGAGAGAGAGAGAAAGAGAGGGTAATGGGAGAGAGAGAAAGAGAGGGTAATGAGAGAGAGAAAGAGAGGGTAATGGGAGAGAGAGAAAGAGAGGGTAATGAGAGAGAGAGAAAGAGAGGGTAATGAGAGAGAGAAAGAGAGGGTAATGAGAGAGAGAGAAAGAGAGGGTAATGAGAGAGAGAGAGAGAGAGAGAGGGTAATGAGAGAGAGAGAAAGAGAGGGTAATGAGAGAGAGAGAAAGAGAGGGTAATGGGAGAAAGAGAGGGTAATGGGAGAAAGAGAGGGTAATGGGAGAGAGAGAGAGAGGGTAATGGGAGAGAGAGAAAGAGAGGGTAATGGGAGAGAGAGAAAGAGAGGGTAATGGGGAGAGAGAAAGAGAGGGTAATGGGAGAGAGAGAAAGAGAGGGTAATGGGAGAGAGAGAGAAAGAGAGGGTAATGGGAGAGAGAGAGAAAGAGAGGGTAATGGGAGAGAGAGAAAGAGAGGGTAATGGGAGAGAGAGAGAAAGAGAGGGTAATGGGAGAGAGAGAAAGAGAGGGTAATGGGAGAGAGAGAAAGAGAGGGTAATGGGAGAGAGAGAGAGGGTAATGGGAGGAGAGAGAAGGGTAATGGGAGAGAGGGTAATGGGAGAGAGAGAAAGAGAGGGTAATGGGAGAGAGAGAAAGAGAGGGTAATGGGAGAGAGAGAAAGAGAGGGTAATGGGAGAGAGAGAAAGAGAGGGTAATGGGAGAGAGAGAAAGAGAGGGTAATGGGAGAGAGAGAAAGAGAGGGTAATGGGAGAGAGAGAAAGAGAGGGTAATGGGAGAGAGAGAAAGAGAGGGTAATGGGGAGAGAGAGAAAGAGAGGGTAATGGGAGAGAGAGAAAGAGAGGGTAATGGGAGAGAGAGAAAGAGAGGGTAATGGGAGAGAGAGAAAGAGAGGGTAATGAGAGAGAGAGAAAGAGAGGGTAATGAGAGAGAGAAAGAGAGGGTAATGAGAGAGAAAGAGAGGGTAATGGGAGAGAGAGAAAGAGAGGGTAATGAGAGAGAGAGAAAGAGAGGGTAATGAGAGAGAGAAAGAGAGGGTAATGAGAGAGAAAGAGAGGATAATGAGAGAGAAAGAGAGGGTAATGAGAGAGAAAGAGAGGGTAATGAGACAGAAAGAGATGGTGATGACAGAGAAAGAGAGGGCCTTCACCACCTGTCCCATCTGCCAGGCCTCTCATCGTCGCCATCTGACGAGTTGTCAGTTCTCACACCACCACAATGCCCACGCCAACACTTTGACCCTATGTCAATTACTTCATCATGTGGCATGTACCAATTAACCCTCAAAACAGCTGACATTCTCAGTTGGGCCTAATATCACCTGCCAACCCCATTAGCATCTCGCCTAGGCAACCTGTCAACTCTCTCACCACCACCTGACCCCACCTGTCAAAATCTTCAAAACATCGTCAAATTCATCACACCACCTGACCCATTTCTAATTTCCATCAGCACCATCTATCAACTCCTTCCCTGCCATCTGATCTGATCTGTCAACCTCACCCATCAACACCCCCCCTTGAATCCATCAATCAGCACTTGAGACCTTGCACCACCACCCCCGTGGCCTGTCAACTCTCTTGAGTTCCACTGTCAGTCATAAGCCCAGTCAACGTTCGCTACAAAACTCCTCCCACTACACCGTCCAGTATCAACCCCATCTTAAGAAGCACCATCAAGGGAACTAATCCTTTCCATGCAACTGGTCACCTTCCGCTCAAGAAAGCGTGGACATCTTACGATGTGATATTACAATTCTTGGGCCGCCACCACGCGACAATCCTTCTTTGGCGAGCCAAACAACGGCCTAAGAAAGTTCAAAGATCAAGGTTTGTTTGAACTTTCGCTATCAATGTGTAGCGTTGTCACTGGCTTGTGCCCCCCCCCCCAGCTCCTGTTTGGTAATTTAGTACGCTTGTTCAACTCTCAAAATTTAAATCCCTCCCCTTTGGTTTGAGGCTTATGTTTTTGTCTATAGGTTAAGAAGAGGGAGTTTAATATCGACAAAAATAATACTCGGTAACTGTCTTGTGAAGTCTTGCCAGCAGTTGCTATGAAGTTTTCTGGTGGTTAATTCAATACAAATGTACAATGTTAATACATTATTACTACATGTCATGGGAGAGTATAAGGGAGTTCCTCGCCCCTTTTTTCCATTAATATCTGACCCCCCCCCCCCGACCTTTCCTCACCCATTACATTATGCTAATTGGCAACAGCTTCCTTCAACTTCGCCCGGTATTCTTGAAGACGATTCCTGTCGCTAAGTCTCATTTGGGACGCACCTTGCGGATGATTCTCAAGTTGAGGCGACCTACCTGAGTCTCAAGTTATCTACGAATGCACTGGTCGAGATTTCATCGAGAAGAACAGCGTCCCCTATCCCGACTTCTTCGTAAGATGCCATCGCCGTGAGGACCGGCGACACACACACAGTCTCCCACTGTCACCGCTCAAAGGCAACTGCCCGCTCACGTCCTGAGCACCCTGACCGAGGCGAAGCGCATTCTACAACCCAACAAAATATACCTCCCACTAAAAAAATACACTTGTATATTACTTGGATTTTTCGCAGGGAAAACTATGATACTCATGTGTTTTATTATAAATCCAAAGGCCTCACCAATTACTTGAAAAGAACACAAATAAACAGTGCTCGAACAGATGTCAATGCTTCCCATCTGGCGCATGCGTACCTGTGCCCGGCGAAGCTTGCGGGAAGTTTGAAAGTGTTATCGCCGTTGATACTCGAAGGTCATTATGAGTCATAGCCATACCTGCGGTGGGCCAGGTATATAACCATATATACCATATATATGTATATATATATATGGTATAAGTGTTATATATACACACTTAGCTTCAACAGTGATAACATACTATTTAACATTTTTGTTAAGTCTCATAGTTAAGAAATATACTCCCGCAGGAAGGAAATGATAAGCTGTATTTTTTTTAATGTACAACTAATACAAGATAACATATATATATATACAAAGACCATTAAAAGATTGGTGAATAATTTAAATAATGTTTAAATTTTGAATTCACAATGCTTCACTTTCAGTCATGGAAAGTCTCTAGATAAAGTGTATTGAAGGCGTTGAACAGTGAGGGAGGAGACTCTTCTTGTGTGTGTGTGTGTGTTTGTGTGTGTGTGTGTGTGTGTGTGTGTGTGTGTGTGTGTGTGTGTGTGTGTGTGTGTGTGTGTGTGTGTGTGTGTGTGTGTGTGTGTGTGTGTGTGTGTGTGTGTGTGTGTGTGTGTGTGTGTGTGTGTGTGTATGTGTGTGTGTGTGTGTGTGTGTGTGTACTCACCTATTTGTGCTTGCGGGGGTTGAGCTTTGACTCTTTGGTTCCGCCTCTCAATTGGTGTACAGGTTCCTGAGCCTACTGGGCTCTGTCATATGTACATTTGAAACTGTGTATGGAGTCAGCCTCCACCACATCACTACCTAGTTCATTCCATCTGTTAACTACTCTGACGTTTAAAAAGTTCTTTCTAACGTCCCTGTGGTTCATTTGGGTACTCAGTTTCCACCTATGTCCCCTTGTTCGCGTACCACCCGTGTTAAACAGTTTATCTTTATCTACCCTGTCAATTCCTGAGAATTTTTTAGGTGGTGATCATGTCTCCCCTTACTCTTCTGTCTTCTAGTGCCGTGAGGTGCATTTCTCGCATCCTTTCTTCGTAACTCATGCCTCTTAGTTCTGGGGTTAGCCTAGTGGCATATCTCTGAAGTTTTTCAAGCTTCGCCTTGTGCTTGACAAGGTACGGGCTCCATGTTGGGGCCGCATACTCCAGGATTGGTTTTACATATGTGGTATACAAGGTTCTGAATGATTCCTTACACAGGTTCCTGAAGGCAGTTCTGATGTTAGCCAGCCTTGCATTCGCCGCAGATGTTATTCTTTTGATGTGGGCTTCAAGAGACAGGGTTGGTGTCATATCAACTCCTAGATCTTTCTCTCTGTCCGTTTCATGCAGGACTTCATCTCCCATTCTGTATCCTGTGTCTGGCCTCCTGTTTCCACTGCTTAGTTTCATTACATTACATTTACTCGGGTTGAACTTTAGTAGCCATTTGTTGGACCATTCATGCAGTTTGTCTAGGTCATCTTGTAGTCTCATACTATCTTCCGCCGTCTAAATAATTCTATACCATTTGGAAGATCATTTACATATATACGAAACAGTATGGGACCAAGGACTGAACCCTGCGGGACCCCACTGGTGATGTCTCGCCAATCTGAGACCTCACCCCGCACAGTGACTCGCTGTCTTCTGTTGCTTAGGTACTCCCTTATCCAATGGAGTACCTTCCCTTTCACTCCAACCTGCATCACCAGGCTGTAGTTCAGTGCCTCCTGTCTATCCCCCTTCTTGTATATTGCGACTACGTTTAAATACCGCCTTCCAAATTTCTGGCAGTTCACGTGTTACCAGTGATTTGTTGTACACTATGGAGAGTGGCAAGCACAATGCTTCTGCTCCTTCCTTTAGTATCCATGGCAATATTCCATCCGGGCCTATTGCCTTTGTCCCGGACGTACGTGTGTGTGTGTGTGATCACGACATACAAAATACTCTGGAAATAGAGAGAGACAGGCTATTGAGCATGTGGGTACAGAAACAAGGTGACAGGCAGAAACTAGGTGCCTGAATGTGTCACAGATTTGAGACCAGGTGCACTATGGTCTCTGTGGGAGGAAGTGGGGGGGAGGGCAGTGTGGGAGGAAGTGGGGGGAGGGCAGTGTGGGAGGAAGTGGGGGGAGGGCAGTGTGGGAGGAAGTGGGGGGAGGGCAGTGTGGGAGGAAGTGGCGGTCTAACTAAAAAAATACAATCTATCTTAGGGAGCAGACCAAAGTCTTGTGCTTGATCGGAACCGCCTGTTTACCTGTTATATAACGTCCGCGTTACTACACCCAACAGCCGGCCACTAATTATGACCTTATGCTAGTATTACCACGTCTCCTCGCGTCATTATCAACATAATTACTGTAGTGTCTATAAAGAAATGACGCATTCAGCCTCAAGGCAGTTTTACAGAAAACGGGAGATTCGTGCAGGAACTACGACAAATGTACACCAGTCTTGCCTGATTGGATGGAGTACTGCGCACCTGGTCCACGGGCTGACGCACCTGGTCCACGGGGTGACGCATCTGGTCCACGGGCTGACGCATCTGGTCCACGGGCTGACGCATCTGGTCCACGGGCTGACGCACCTGGCCCACGGGCTGACGCATCTGGCCCACGGGCTGATGCATCTGGCCCACGGGCTGACGCATCTAGCCCACGGGCTGACGCACCTGGCCCACGGGCTGACGCATCTGGCCCACGGGCCGACGCATTTGGTCCACGGGCTGACGCATCTGGCCAACGGATACAGATGTGTCCCTCGGAAAGGGCAGGTGTACCCCACGAATGTGTTTACTAGTACATGGCGATGGCTAGCGAGAATCGATAATAATTGATAATCGATGATAATTGACAACACCTTGTGATAACTGTTGCCAATTGGCGATATTTGGCAATAATGTTGGTTATTACAGAAAACTGAAGTTTAATAATACTTATTTGGTCGTTGTACAGTTTCCCTTAGCGACCAAGCTAAAAATAATGGTGTTTACGGTGAGCTTGTAATGAAGCAAGTGAGTGACGTGAGGGGGGTGTGTGAAAGTGATGAGAGAGGTGTGTGAAAGTGAGGAAAGGGGTGCGAGAGTGAGGAGAGGGTGAGACGAAAGGGGTGTGTGAAAACGCACATTAACGGCACAATGTACAAGATGCTACGAACACAGTTTACGTAGGACTGCCTCAGTTCTGTGTATTTATGAATGTACATTAGCTTAGGATTTTAAAAGTACTGCAATCACCTTCTGTGGTTGATTGTTCAATACATCACTGAACTATATGTTTAACAGATCTCTAACCCTGTCCATGGAGGACGGGAGAAAATATATGTATGTTAGTTAGTATTGTAAATGTGTGGCCACGTCTGTGGTAGAAAATAAATATATTGGTAGTTAATATTCTACTGGCCGTCTTGCAATAGTCATAGACAATCTTTTAATACCATCTATTTAATATTTGTAGACTTAATATGACCTAACTTAGCCGAATTTGACCTAACTTAAAATAACCTGACTTTACTCAACCTAAGTTAAACTAATCATGTTAAGTCGTCAACTTGTTAATTGACATTTTTATCTTCTTGATATTCGTCAGGGTGTTGAGAACATGTAAATGTATTTTGGGTTTATATTTAACATTTATAAACACCATATGTGTGCTTACAGCTTAAACTGACGGCAACTTGAGCTCCCTGAAACAATAATAAAGATGTTGACACCGGCCTTGTTGTTGCTGCTGATTAATGTAAGAGACCTCAAGGACAAGCCTAACTTACTGACACAGTATCCGTAATTACTAAATATCCGACCATCGTAGGTTATCAGATTAGTGGCGCCCGTAGCCTGTCCCATTGTATACCTGTAGCCTATGCGCTGAGTATGCGTTTACCCAAACATGTATATATATATATAACCCTTTTGGTCTTTCAAAACTTTGTTTTTGTTTGAAAGACGGAAAGTATTGATGTCAATGACGCAGCCATACGTAGTAGTTTTAAGTGAATTTATTCCACAGCTGGATGCATGGCCTCGATGGGTGAGGTTAGGCAGATATATCAACAGGTGTCATGCTTTATATACAACCAAATGGGTGCATCTAGACATTGTGGTAAGACGTAGTCCTGGCTCGAGGTCAAGCGCTGACACATTCAACCACTATCAGTGTATATGAAACTCTGACATGTGACACACACACAATACTCATACTCTCTCATACAACCCACAAAGAAAGGTCACACGCCACCCCCACACAAACGCGCCGACATCCGTATAAATACTGCTCCCATTATCAATGTTTTAAGCGTTTGTCAACATCCTTTGTGGAAAGCCCAAGACGAGTGACATTACACACACACACACACACACACACACATATACACTCGTGCATACGTTGGGAGGATTTAGGCTGGGTACTGGAACACGCTAGCTTGTTTCAGCACCATGTTTTTACACTTTGCGCTGAGAGCACAGTGGCGATCGTTGGAGAGAAGTGAGGGTAGGTAGGAGAGAGAGGGGTAGGTGGTGAAGGAGAGGGTAGACGAGAGAGGGGAGAGTAGGTGGAAGAGAGGGAAGGTGGGAAAGGAGAGAATAGAGGGGAAGAGAAGAGATACAGGAAGCTATACAGCTCAAATATGAACTAGAATGAATACAGTAGCAAAAACGCCTCAAACTACACCACAGACTTTAACAGGACGCTGATCATCCTGACAACAATACGCAGTGAAGTGAAAACAATTATTTGGCCAATACTATAACAAAAAAGAATATTTTAAATATCAGGCTTTTGACGATTCAATTTAAGGTTTACACAGTAGGGCTTTTTGAATCTGAATAAGGCTATTTAAAAGTAATTTGGATAAACAAGAAGGCCTATTGGACACCTGAGACAGCTTGGATACCCAAAAATACCCACACACACACACACACATTCACTTGAATGATGTCTAACCTACATTTGAAACAATTCAACGACATCGAGTCTGTTATGCCAACACAGCAACCTGCTCCATAAATCAACCATCCTATTTCCAACCCAGTTCCGTCCTGATTGATTGATTGATTGATTGATGAAGATTAAGCCACCCAAGAGGTGGCACAGGCATGAATAGCCCGTTTTATTCTGAACCTCAACTTATCTTATATAAATTGTTATAGTGTGGTGTCTCGTGTGTTCTCCACGTGCTCAATCCACGTGGAGAACACATGTGTCACGAGGGGGGGTGACATAACATGCGAAGAACACAAAGCCTATGTTGGGGTTGTTGAGTGAACATGTGTAGAACACAAGGGCACCACGACCTAAATAACAGGTATATAATTTCGCTTCCTCTCTTTTGTCTGGCATTACAATTATTGCTGTTCTTGCGGCTGTTTTGTTGGAGACACACGGTAAGTACTTTTTTGTGTTGAGTTGTTCCTGGACCACGTCTGGCGATGCTGTTGTTCTTGGACCACGTCTGGCGGTGCTGTTGTTCTTGGACCACGTCTGGTGGTGCTGTTGTTCCTGGACCACGTCTGGTGGTGCTGTTGTTCCTGGACCACGTCTGGTGATGCTGTTGTTCCTGGACCACGTCTGGCGGTGCTGTTGTTCTTGTATCACTTCTGGCGGTGCTGTTGTTCCTGGATCACTTCTGGCGGTGCTGTTGTTCCTGGATCACTTCTGGCGGTGCTGTTGTTCCTGGACCACGTCTGGCGGTGCTGTTGTTCCTGGACCACGTCTGGTGGTGCTGTTGTTCCTGGACCACGTCTGGTGGTGCTGTTGTTCCTGGACCACGTCTGGCGGTGCTGTTGTTCCTGGACCACGTCTGGCGGTGCTGTTGTTCCTGGACCACGTCTGGCGGTGCTGTTGTTCCTGGACCACGTCTGGTGGTGCTGTTGTTCCTGGACCACGTCTGGTGGTGCTGTTGTTCCTGGACCACGTCTGGTGGTGCTGTTGCTCCTGGACCACGTCTGGTGGTGCTGTTGTTCCTGGACCACGTCTGGCGATGCTGTTGTTCCTGGACCACGTCTGGCGGTGCTGTTGTTCTTGTATCACTTCTGGCGGTGCTGTTGTTCCTGGATCACTTCTGGCGGTGCTGTTGTTCCTGGATCACTTCTGGCGGTGCTGTTGTTCCTGGACCACGTCTGGCGGTGCTGTTGTTCCTGGACCACGTCTGGCGGTGCTGTTGTTCCTGGACCACGTCTGGTGGTGCTGTTGTTCCTGGACCACGTCTGGTGGTGCTGTTGTTCCTGGACCACGTCTGGTGGTGCTGTTGTTCCTGGACCACGTCTGGCGGTGCTGTTGTTCCTGGATCACTTCTGGCGGTGCTGTTGTTCCTGGATCACTTCTGGCGGTGCTGTTGTTCCTGGATCACTTCTGGCGGTGCTGTTGTTCCTGTATCACTTCTGGCGGTGCTGTTGTTCCTGTATCACTTCTGGCGGTGCTGTTGTTCCTGTATCACTTCTGGCGGTGCTGTTGTTCCTGTATCACTTCTGGCGGTGCTGTTGTTCCTGTATCACTTCTGGTGGTGCTGTTGTTCCTGTATCACTTGTGTGTAATGCTGTGTTGGTCTCAATTCAGTTTTGCTGGCCTGGTATGGGGTGCATAATAAATGAACTAAACTAACTGGCCTGGTACTCTGTTGTTCATAGTTTTTTTATTAATTCTGTGTTTGTTCTTGAATAAATATTCCTGGCTTATGTATTTAAGTGCTGTTGAGTAACTCCATACACTGGTAAACATGAGTTTAGCGGACCAGGCTAAGTGTCACTTTACTAACAACATATTTGGTCAACTATCTTCTCTACTGTTCTTAAACCAAAGAAGAAATCTGACTCTCAGTTTCATTTTGGAGGTTTTAGTTGTTCAAGAATCACGTGAGGCAAATTCAAATCCTGGACCCGGGTACTCCCAAGCCGCGCACCTTACCTCTGCGCCACGACATGGTGTACATTATACAACCTGGAATTCCACTGAATCCACAAGACTCCTGGAAGCCCCTACTAAAGCCAGTCCAGGTTTTACATATAACCTCCATGCTACCTTGTATAGGTACCAGAGTTCTCCACCATATGCTTCAAATATGGAAGGAAATCACAGTAACTTGATACAGTATATCAATGAGAAAATCATTTGGGACAATGCAAGGGATTCGATCCCTCGACCTGTGGAATCCCAACTTGTATTCAAACTTTATACTATGTCATGGTACAGAGGTAAGGTGCGTGACTGGAGAGTATCCAGGTCAAGGGTTTGAATCCCTTGCATTGTCCCATTTGATTTTCTCACTGTTATATCATGTTAGTATGATTTCCTTAGTGTAAATAATAATAATAATAATAATAATAATAATAATAATATGGGTACCACCTCTGGTGCAATTGTAGGGACCCACAGCCACGAAGAAGAAAATAAAGAGTATTCAGAGAAGACCTTGTGAATTCTCATTGAACACTTTGATATTTTACTCTCCTTCCACCCCCATTTTTTTTGTTTTCTTAAATTTTATTTTATTTTATTACATATTATATTTATATAAAAGTTTATACATTTGATATGTGAAACATTGCAGAATTCATTGGTAAGAAATATACATGACATAAAGCCTCTAATATGCCGAGCATTTTGGGCAAAACTTAAAATTTGTGAGCATAGCTACTTCAAATTTAATCTAATTCAATGTAACCCATCCTCATATAATATCTTTTGCCCCTAATAATATCTGAACTGTAACTTAAAGCTACAGTCTTGAGCATCTATGAAGCATCTCCACACATGAAAGCTGAAGCTGTTGCATTTCAGTATGTGAAAAAAAGCATTTGATGCCTGAACCCAGTCCTCTCGCATCACAAGCAAAGTTAGCTGCACGTCCAAGCACCCCCACTTTAACTAAACAACTCCTCGTAATTAGCTTGTGCTTTACATGCTTTTGTTTATATTATATATACCACAGCACCTCCCAAAGAAAGGTATCTAAACCATAGATACACTCTCTAAAATTCACTACTATATACCTCACTCTGCCCTAATACTGTAACATTATTTCTCGCTCACCTATCCATATCTTACCTACAGCATCTGTGCCTGTGGCTCTACAAATAAACTACTGTACCTCAGTGACAAAATAATTCACCCAAAATCAGAAATTAGAATAATAACAAACACTAACCCCAGAGAGCACACAGCACCTGTACTGAACTTCACGAATATGCTTAATATAAAAAGCATTACACATATTCTCAAATGTCTACAAATCTCTAAAGTTCCAAACGAATACTGTTCTTAAACATATCTTAAATGACTGCAACAGAACCCTTAGACATCACACGAGAAAGAGTAGTTCCTAAACTACGAATGACCTTTCAAATGCAATGAAATACTGTACTACTTTTAACTAATTTCAAGGAAAAACAAAGGCAAACCAAACTGACATTACATTGTCCTTTATGTCTACCACAACATATATCCTAAAAATCTCCTATGGCTCTTTTCCTAAACAAGCCAATTATGCTGTTATTGATGTTACTTGTTTGAGCTTTAAAATACTGTAAATATATTATTTTAACAATTCATTTTATTTAAAAACATGAACATTACTTTTGAGATACTGTGTTACTTCTAAGATCTTTTATGTACTGTATTTATAGTTATATTTCAGTTTTCAATGTGAACACAGTAGTAGTAATAACTTGATCATAATTAAACTTCATCACATAACGATACTGTTAGTTTTAAGATCTGCCCAAAATCCTGTGAGTACTTAGTAGCCTTATAGAAAGTATATTTATAAGCATTATTTACGACTAAAGTTATATGATCTAAAATGAAGCAGTCTACACTATAGTAACGGGTATCTGAAAAAAGATGCTGTACCCATTACAAAGACACACTGTGAAGCTGTATTTATTTTAATTTCACTTTACATTTATACACTATGAGATATAATCCAATGTACTGTACTTAGATATTATCCTAAAATGTAATAACCACACACACACATTAATCTTCAGATTTACACTCGGCACTGTGTACAACTGTGGGACCCAGGGTTCAATCTCCTGGTAAGACAGAAAGAATTTGGTACGTTTCCTTTTGTGGATTGCATTCTGGGGACGACCAGTAGTTGGCCTTGGAGGGATTATGATATGCCTATGTACAAACTTCCTGTCCTCAATAATGAAAAGTATACATACCCAGTACGCAAACATTGTAATTATACCCTCAGTAAGATTTTTTATAAATAAAATATTATTATCATTATTATTATTACTGCTACTGTTTTTCTTAGGCACATAACAGCAATCTAGAGTTTGATTCACAGAAATTTAGTTTGAATGGGATGTTCCACAAACATACCCATCATAAATTGGGGAGTCACTTTCCAAAACTATACTTATACTTAATTATTACACTGTTATGCGGGTCTCCAGGATGCGGTGATACACGACAATCAAATTTGTTTGAAATTTAATCAAAATTCATAGTAAGACCAAATACTATTGAACAAAGACAAGTGACAAACATTATTAGGCACAATTACATGACACCATTTAAAAGCATAAAAATTGGCTAATGTCTTTCCTACTTCAACATAGTGATACAAAACGGCAAAATGGGGCCACCGGACATCAAAAAGCGATACAATCAACATACAGTATTTCAATGTAAAATAAAATGAAAAATACATTGGTACATTTCATATAAAATTCATTGCCTTTGAGAAGTAAAATGAAGACAAGAATTTAAGATATCTATAGAATAATATATAATTTACAACCTTCTTTTACTATACTTTATTACTCAAACTGTTTCTCCAAAACAACACTACCTTATCCCATGAAAGTGGGAAATATGAGAGTGAACATGCACATGCCACATGATCACTAATTCTCTTCTGATGTAACCCAACTTAACAAATTAAATACATAATTTTACATCTTTGGTAAATGAGCAAAAAATTATGTTACAAACCCAAAGAAATTTAAGAGTGCCAAGGCTGAATATATATATACAAACAATACAAAAAGAAAATATTCTATGGTCTTTCTGGGATGCCATGTATGGCACAGTTTTATAATGTACAAAAAAATACTAATATATATTTATATATTTTTAAACATTTACCTGCAGTGTATTACTTTTACCTTTTAAGACTTTGGCAACACCACTCCAACGTCTTCATCAGTTTCAATTCCAATCTCTTCAAAGAGCTGCATCTTGGGGTGGGGGTATCCTTCCATGATTGCGTCTAGTATGTCTAGCGCCATTCTTCTCCTCTTCCGCCACTGTTTGATCATCTGCTCGCTCGCTTTAGTGATTTTGTCTTTTTCTTCTTTGGAAACAAGGACCTGATTCTCTTTCAGACTAGACAGCTTATGTTCAAGTTTGGAAACCTCTTCCTCTAGCTGTAATTTGGCCAAAGAACTTTCAATGAACAAACATCCACCATAAAACACAGTACAAATACAATACATGCTTCTAGGAAAGAAATTTTGAATTTTAGAATAAAGGGACAGCAATGTTACTTAACCCCTAAATGGCACATCTGTTGAAAAGTGCTTCAGTGAGGTGCACATGTCCAAAAATAGTTAACAAATCAAATGAGAAAAATTGCATACAGTATTTCGATTATAGCACTAAGTGTTAAGACACAGTAAAGCTGCTTAAACCACACCAATGATACCTGAGACACAGTTGTGTATAACTGGACAAAATTAAAGACATTAAGGACAGAGCAGCTGGTAAGGAAGAGAAGACATGGCCAACAAAGACCCAGAAAGATGAGATGGAACGCCCAACTGTTCCAGGTTCAAACATCCCAAAATTTCTTCCAGACGTGACCTCCACTGGATTGTCAATGTAGCTTACAACTACAGTAAATGGTTGACAGGAAAAATCTGGCCAGAACCAAACCTGCACGAATCCTAGAGAGGCGCTGATCTCCAAGAGAAAGAGCAAACTGGAAACTCAGTACATGCAGTTGCTAAAGTTGATGATAATACAGCATAAAAATATGTAATCCCATCATGAAGTAGCAGAACAAAAAACTCCTGCAAAGAATTTGAAGAGTATACTATGGTAGACAAGGAGGAGGGAAGGGAGGGAATTATCAGGAGAAAGCTCCGAGCCATGATGACTATACAACACTTTGAAGGGGTCAGGATAAGGATTTGGGATGGGATGGGGTAAAGGAATGGTGCCCAACCTCTTGGACATGCAGACAAGGAGGAAGAAGACACTACAACAAAGGAAGCCACCTCTGGATGCATACTGTAAAATTTTTAGTGATAGAAAATCATAACCTTATATAACAGTTCAGAGCCTTGTCGACTACTGGAACCTTGGGAGTCTGTATGTGGAGCTGCCATGATCCCATGTCACAAGAAAAGGGAAAGAGCAAATAAAGCTCCATTAAGCACTTCAAAGTAGGACCTCCCTAAAAGCAAGTTAAAGACTGCGGCATCCTCTTTTCAATCAAGAACATAAAAACTAACAGCAGTGAGTTCATTTCTCCAAGGAGTATAATATACTGTCTGCTAACTGTAGGAACCTAAGACCTTGTTACATAACTAAACTTAAATACAGGCCCACCTGTCAACTGAACATGACTGTAGTCAGGAAGAACATGGTATGATCTGGGAACCTTGGATAATTGTTGCAGGTGATACTAGTGGTGGCCAGGCTAGTTTGACCATTAATTTTTTTTCATGGATTTTAATAATACCGTAGTAGGATTGCATATAACTGCTCAAATATCAAAGAGAGATGCCTAATGGAAGAAGCATTGTTTATAGAGATAGAAGGAGCATCAGGAAGCTTTGTTTTAACATTCTCAAGCCAGCAAGGTGGAAAGGAGTAGTATGGCTTAATATGTTGTCAGTTAATGTTAAGTGTTAGTTAGGATGTTAAGGCATTTAACCTCCAATTAGTAAAAAACGAAGCAAACCACATTTATGAACCTTGAAATTAGAATAATAAATGTGGAGCTATTTCCATTGAGTTGATGATTCATGCAATAAAAATAAATATATGAATAGATTTCTGTAATTTTTCCTGTTGAATCATAAAAATATTTTAATGTGGTAATTTTTAAACTGAGAAAGTTGTATTCTCCAATTTTTTTTAAGGATCATAATGTATACGTTGAGCTTACCTGTGAAATTTTCTTTTTAGCTTCATCTGTTGTGAGACTTGAGCTCAAATTCCGCAGCTTGGTCTCCACCTCTGCACACTCTTTCTCAGTTTCCTTGATTGTTTGGTTGAGCTCTTCTACCTGCTTGTCCATCTTTTTGAGCTTCTCTTCATCCAATGCAGGAAACTGCTCCTGGTCGAATACGTACACCTTTTGTTTTCCATATGTTTTTTCTTTAATTGATCCAGTCTACAAAAATAAATTTAATTAAAATCTACTGAACAGGCAAAGGTATTTTCTACTTTTAATTCTTATACCAAAAAGTGAATAAATTTACTGTAGTTATCATCTATCAATTACAAGGTTTGTGTCTTGATTTGTATTTAGAGCTGTTAACATGAAATCACTTGACAAATAGAACTTTAAACTGAATCAATTTGAAGCAATCTCAAGTGCTCAATGAATCATTACAAAATTATATTAAACTGATAATGACTAGTATCTTGTGAATTCAATAAAAAAATTTGAAACATGAGACATCACTATGCCTTGTATTCCTCAAGGAATACACTATGCCTCATCCAATATTTTTTTACGTGCTAATGAAGCAGTGCCTAAATTAGAAATTAACTGAACTTCTTTAGTTTGCTGCAGTATTTGTATTGATTCAGGTGCTCGCAATAAGTATTCTGTTGTATTATATGAATCACAAGAATATTCAGAAGTGACCTTAGACCTTGTAATAAAAAAATAGGAGATAGTCGCCATCAGGACATGGCAAACTTTTTGCCCATTTACTATATACAAATTCCGTATATACCTAAGATATAGCCAAACTATGCATCGCAAGCATCATACTGCTTGAAAAAAAAAAGAGGACAACATACTCACACCAACCAGCTGGTCCAGACACTTCTGGACCGCCGTCTTCCCCACCTCCTTGTGTAGGTTCATGAAGATGTCGTTGACGCTGTAGGGACGGTTCTGCTGCTCCAGGTACCGCTTTATCTTCTCCATCGCTTCCAAATCCTTCTTACTCATTCTTAAGAGGAAATCAAGACAGACAAGACAGCTGAAGCACCGCCCGAGCGTCGGCCTGCGCGCCAAATATCAAATGATGTAAATAAGCGCTTTCTTTGGTGACATAAGTAGAAGAAAATGATATGGACTAGGAGTAACTATCTTATATATATACATACGCTTATGTTGAGGTCCCCCTCAAAGGTTGAATTAGTGACCCTCCCCAGGATGTAACTTCACAACAAGCTGACTAGCTTTTTGGTATCCATTTACTGCTAGGTTAAGAGAGTGAACAAAAGGCAGACAGCTCAGTAGAAAACTACCGTCCGAATAGTTTGACATCACATATCTGCTAAGCTTTGGAGTTCTTTCATTTTCATTTTAATCAATGAAATCTACACAAGCGAGAGCTGCAGTAAACAAAAAAGGCAAACTAATTCCTAAGAATAGCCAATCGAAACTCTGACTTCAAGGAAAAGAAGGTAGTTTACCATTGGTGTATGTTATACTTCAGTATGATACTGAATGTTATGCACAGTGGTGTGATTCAGTATGTTATTCACAGTATGATACGGTGTGTATGTCGACGTCCTACTACATGCTACGGCGGTGCTGAAGACCAAAGGGTCTATAAGAGGCCGGACAGAGGTTCTCGTGTGAATCTCCACTATAAACAATTTCTGTTGAGGGGGCTCTTCCGGGTGTCCTCTGGGAGCC